TAAAGGTTGGGCGCTACTATGGAGTATGATTATATGTTAGCTGGTTAACATGATGTTTTGCTCATAATGTTGCAATTTTTATATTCTTTTACATTTGATAACGGAATGACATTAATTAGAGAATCAATTAAAACCAGGGAGTACTGGGGAGCTGTTTTCGTCCTAGTTTAAGAATCTTCAGGAATACGCACCCTTGATACTACCAGGGTTAGGACCCGGGACTTTCAGGCTCAAAGACCGACCTCACTTACCACTCAAACGCTTGAGCAGGAATTCAGTGACCCGTGAATTTTAACTTCTGACGATCACTAGTCATTAACTACAGAGCGAAAGTGTCTGGAGTTCTAGTAAGTAGCCGTGACCACTAGGGTCGCGTGATAGGACAAGTACTCACCAATGACATTGGCTAGTAATCGCGCTAAAATAGCAAAATGACAGAAGTTAAAATTCACTGCTCATTGAATTACGGTGTAAGTAGCTGAATGGTTGACGAGTTTGGCTTTGTAACATGAAGGTCCCGGGGTTCGACCACTAGTGGACTCGTACGTACGCACGGCTGAATGTTAGCAAAGTGGAACGAAATGGTCATCCAGTAATAACTGGTCTTCAATGGTACTCTAACTGATATCGACCCATGATCGAACTCGAAAAATATTCTTTGGTAAAAATAATGTATTAGTCAGTTTTAATCGTCTTGGGTCTTACATGGTGTTGTAGTTTGAATGCTTTTATCACGAAAACGAGGAATCGACTCAATCCAACTATAAATCTCAAAAGGTAGATATGGGGAAACTTACCTCTTAGAAGGAGGAATAAAAATAAACTAAGCTTGTAAGCAAAAGTCAAGACCGTATTTAAGGAACTATTTTCAATGGCTGAGTAAAAGAAATCCGGTTTCACCTTCATGATAAGGCTATAGTGAATAATAGCCCAAAAACATAAACTCATTTAGGGAAAATAATATAAGAGTAGAATTCGGACACTCGTGGCAAGATGTAATTTGACGTAAGACACAATATTACTAACTGGTTAACTTTCCGAATACATTTTGGTTGTTACGTAACATAAAAAGTTAATACATCTATCAAGATTTGACGAAGCAAAACCTACTCCAACTGTCGTCACTTGACAGTTAATATATCAAACATCATCTGAAAGTGCTCCCAGTACAACACACGTTGTTCGTGAAGCAGAATGAAATGCTTGAATTTCAAGTGTTAGTTAGCAAGGATTTGATTGGTTACAAGTTAGAGAGCTACTGAAAACCAGGGAGTACTTGATAGCCATTTCATCCCACTTCGGGACTCTTCAGCAGTGTTATACCATGACTGAATCTTAGTCCACTGATTAAGATAGTTAAAAGAATAGAACGGAACTTGAAGGTCTTTGGGTCAAATTTTGTGGTGACTTTTTGACTAAGGATACTGAAAAACTTTATAACGTACAAAATACTGTTATGCGGTGCATATTATAAGATCAACAGGGAAGTTCTTTAATTCTTGAGTTCCTGCCTCCAAAGAGTTTTATAATACAAAGTGTTTTCAGTTTTATTTCTCAAAAACATTACATTTCCCATTCACGTTACCTTTATTATTGGGGTCTTTGTTAAGGTATGCTAAAAGTTGGCCATAGTGCATCTACCTTTTAAGTAGTAGAATGCCTGCCAACTAAAGCATTTGATTCGGGTTCGATTCCTGGTTGACACACTGCTAAAAACATCGCCCAGCAAGTAGTAAGCCTAAAAAGAGTGAAGACTGAATGTGACAGCACCATCGTTACTGAAACTTTGTTCTACTCGGAATGAAAACAAGGTGTCAGCCAAACAGTATGACTATGGGATCAAACCTATCACTTGAAGATCGATTCCTCTACACCTAATTCTTTTTATATCACTTAGGAGTGAATATAAGAGATTGGAATGTTTGTGAACTTGATCAACTAATAAGTTAGAGCATGATTAAGACACAATATATATGCACTACTTGGATTTATTCTAACATATGTAATTTAGAGTTTCCGAACACTGATTTCATCTGCATCACAAGTCTCAAATGTATAAGTAACAATAATACAAACCAGCGTTGTCCAACTTATGAATTCACAATACTCAAAACGAATTTCATTCACACTAATGATATCTTAAAATATATTGCACACCTTATATATTGATAAAGTTCGAATAGTAAACTTGGAAAGAGTACACATTATTATTAATTTTCATAAATATCATGTATCAAAAACCAAGAAACCATATGTAGAAAGAAATCAATATGTATGAACAAAAATCAATATGTACACATGAAATATACATATAGAGAAAAAAAATTTAACATTGAACCACAAAACATTGGTATACATGGAAGTGAATAAATTTCTAATCACTTAAATTATCATTCTTCTGAATAAACACATATACATGTGGACAGAGAAGAAGGAAAAGATGTGTAACTAGTACTCGAATAATTTGCGCCTACAGATATAACCATAATGATGAGGTAAGAATAAGCATTATTGGCATTATGCTTATCAGTGTATACAGGTGTTTAAAAAAATAGGTGGAATCGATCAGAAAAATGCAGTTCAAACTAAAACAGTGTATGCTGTATGTGTGTACATGCATGCTGTTACCGTTCGGAGACATTCAGTTGTTGTTTTCGTTTTTGTTTTGTTTTTTTCGCTATTAACTTACACATAAATCGCTTTGTGTACATTTTCAAGAGGAATTTGTTACCTTATTACCTGGTAAATAGAAGTCGTTTATCGATACACTGTTGAAATAGTCAACGGATATTATTACTGTTAGTTTATAACCGAAGAATATCAACTTAATTGATATGTTTCATAATATATAATATGCGTACAACGCTTTTGGTACCTAGTACTCTACTAGTCCGAGTTCAGGAGACTTTAAATAAGTCCAATATTAACGGAGTTTATCTTACTCTTCAAAACCTTTGAGACTGATAGATACATATCAAGGGAGAAAACTACTAATTAAGGTTTACATCAGCAAAATGGAATTCCATTTGAAGAATTTAAGGGTTTTACATATATTATCAGTATTTTAACTTGTCAGACATTTCAGAAATGCAGATAAATAGTTAGCAGATTCAAGAAAGGCTTAAAGGACAAATGAAATAATATTAAACACATAGCTTTTATTTAAAGTTGAACTTTTTTTTCTAATTATATCACTGAAAACTTCATATACATGATACTAGTTCATTTCTGAACTTTTGTTTGTGATCAAAATGGGCTAGACAAATGTATACGTTTTATAAGATGGTTGAAGGTAATCATCACGAAGCTGAGAACCTAGGTGTCATGCTTGCTGACACCCGTCAGCATAGTGTATCTCAAACTTTGAAGGAATCAGTATCCCCTTGGAAATCTGTATCCCTGCAACTCTCAGAAATGATATTTAGAGATGTTACTACTGAGTTATGTGGGTGTTCAGTCTACCTCTTGTAGACTAGAGGTGAGTACTCTGTCTGACTAGTCACTAGAAAGTAAGCAGTGTCATTTGTCTAGTCGATGGAGGCATGTAGTGCACATTTCAAGTATGACAGAATGGTTTTGGGTCTTAAATTCACTGAAATTAATGAAACCCAATATTTTATCACCATAAATCTAGTTTTTATGAATTCAGGGAGGATCAGTTAGGTAATGTGACAACTCTATCTGCCGTTTGATAAATACATACTTATTTACATTTAGGGGTAATTAATAAGCTAGAGTGATATTTTGGTGAAATACTTATGCAAAAGTTAGACAGAATAAAGCCAACATATCCTGGAAACCAGAGATATAATTGAACAAGAATTTAATTGTTATGTTCTTCCCAGATTGGACAGACATTTGCTACGTGATTATACAGCTACTTACAAAACTTTTTCTCTGCTTCTGATTAAATTCATCTAACCAAATAAATAACTAGCAAGAATATGTGATAGTCTTCAACTGATGACTGCGGTTTGTCACTCAATGAATTCGCATACCAATACGACATCAGAAATCAAGCATTCAGTATGATATAAGTGATCTGAACTTAATAGCTGCCATTTATCTAGACACATGTTATATTTGTACTAATATAACTTCCACATTATTGTAAACAACTTTGTGTATTTGCATGTTTTATACTTCATATTTAATTAGTCATGTGTTTTTTTTACAGTCCAGATGCAAGTGAAATAATAATGCTGCAAATATAGTGAAATTGAATTACTAATTGAATAAATAAACAGTATAAATAGCACAGTTCCATAACGGCTGACATGAGCCATGAAAAGCTATATACATTGCCTCAACGGAACATGGGATTAGATACTTTAAGCGATATAACTTAAAAGTGATCACAGGGGTATGAATACATCCATGATCTATCTATCTTTTAACGAAAATATTTATTTAGTTGTGCTTTCCTTACTGTAGGTATTTGATAGCAGTTTATAGTCCTGAATTATATTTTATCTGCTTTTCATTCTATCTCCCTTAACTGCTTAGTGTATGTACAGTTAAGAGACGGGACAACTGGGACTATTGAGAAGTAATGCTAAGTCATATGCTGACAGTGACTTCTGATGCCTTATAGAATGTAGCAGAAAACTGTGAATATATTCAAATATTACACTCGGGGAGTTACTGGAACTGATTTTCAGTATCTATTCTTATACGTATAATGAGAATACTTCCTTTTATAACTGCTTACTGAATAATTTGAAACTCTGTAAACTGAAACATAAATAACACGAAATAAATAATTATCTAGTGAGAAAGTTTTTACTAAATTAGTGTTCCGATAAAATAGGTAAACATGTCCAAATATCTGTAGAGTAAGAGACGGGGAAATGCGTAGTAAATTGAACCATAGATAGGAAGTTAACTGTCTTACTGAAAAAGTCCATGGTACGATTCAAGTTATTTATGATTTATTTACTTATTATAAAATCTCACATTACTATCAACTTGACTGTCTACTGGAATACATAAGGACTTACTTTTCTGACCGCATCTCGTCTATCCATTTGATCACGAATTCTCTTAGGTAGAGCTTCAGCAAGAGGTATCACCTTAGCACTGCCATACTCTGCTCCTAAAAGTGAATGAAAGCATTGAAGTCGTATCATGCATATAAATTCTGTAGTTTATGTACGAAATATGATCTATGAACAGTCAAAGATCACTCTGATTTACATTAATTTCCTTGAATATCAACCTATATCATGGGGGACTGTGAAAAGTCAATTTTAACTCCTTCATTAATATATGTGAGAAACTTCGGCACTGTGGTAGCAATTAATTCCATATTAGTTTGTTTATTAGATTTTTCACTGTGTGATACATCTAGTAAACAAACTAATATGGAATTTAACTCCTTCACTTTACTTGGTTTTTACACAAGAATGATATAATTATGATCTAACTAATTAGGTCTTAAATGTAATCAGGGAAATTATACTGTATTTTGATAAATTTAAAATTGTTATGACGAAAATAAAAGACAAATTCAGAGAAGAAAATTTTCCATATCGACGAAATCATCTTCAGAGGCTGTACAGTCGTATTTATACTTACCAAAAATGTATAGTAGTCTATTATTGAATAATAGGGGGTGACATAATTGATATAATTACTCAGAAGTGGCTTTAGAAGTAAAAAATAGTTGTAAATTACGTGGTACTCAACGGAACAAAGTTAGGAATATGATAAGGTTAAAATTGCTACTGAGTGAGAACAAAGGTAGTTGAGTGTTAATTTAACAAGTTGAAGAGGGTGGAAAATGTACAAAAGTAACATATGAGAGTGATAACAGTGAATTAGTTATTAAAGTAAAAGCAAACTAAAAGTGAAATTTAAAACAAATTCAAAAGTTTTTACAGGGAACGACTAGCGAAGAGGTTGAGACCATGGTAGAATAAGAGACTGGACAAACTTTTTCTGTACACAGAGTCCGGGGTTGTATTGACGAATTGCCAACGCCTCCACCACACACAAATTCTGAAATCTGACCCCCTTTGTACTATTTGGCCTTATCTTGTAGATGATCTTTAAAGACGACTCTGGTGGAGCTACGTGGCTCGAGTTCACCAAGTGCTCGAGAATTGAGCTAGTAACTGTCTTGCATTATCACGCTGCTAACGGTGCCGGATAATGCATTTGGAAAATGTGCGCTTAGTGCTACCAATTTAACTAGCTCCTCAGGATCTGGTGAATTTATAAACACACATTGAAGTGGCCCAAAGTGACAGTTTATCCTTCACATATCCATTGATCATTTGTCGACTGTGGAAATTGATACGTAGCTCACCAGCAAAAAAGGCTTTCCCCAGTGATCTGTATAAGCGGTTCTTCAGGATCTCAGCTGCGGTATCACCTTTAAATTCAACGCTCATAAGTAGCAGTTTCTTCGACACCGTCTGGGTTTTTTCAGGCTTTTGCTTTAACTTCATGTTCTTCTGGATGAATCTTGAAGGATATCCATTTTCCATGAGGACTTATCTTTCTTTCTTTATGCCTTTGAGTACTACGTAATTTACAACTTTTGTTTTTACTTTTAAAGCCAATTCTGAGTAATTATATCAATTATGTCACCCTCTGTTACTCAATAGTCTATTGTTATGTTGCATACTTTGTCAAACAAACAACTCTGATAAGAAAAAACACCACCGTAAAGCATCGAAATGATTTCAGAATAAGACATTCTGAAACACTGTCATAATAAATTACTAGGTCTATTTTTACTACTGATCATTTAAATGAGAAATAAACGGGTTAACAGTATATCTCAATTATGATCGAACAGAACTTGTATTGTAAAACGATACATTCACTTGAGAGGATACATTCAGACTAATTGTAGACGACATAAGCCTTTCTGATAAGTAGTGATCTCACTTGTGTATCAGTGAAATTTAAAAAGTATTTTAATTCTTTGTAATTTCGTTAGCACCACGTCTTATAGTTGGATGTAATGTGGCCGATGCCTCAGGGCTTCATAAATTCTAAAACCTTAGGTATTAAAGGACAACTTTATCACCTAGTTGATTAGTTTAGCTGCATAGCTTCCAAATGATAGGCCACAAATTTAGAATACGACCCACCCATCAACTGTTTCACAGTCATAAAGGGGTGTTACTTCTCATACAGGGTAAGTTGATAACAGCTTGGTTCTCTAACCTATATGTGAAAACTGATTTGTATTCATTTAATAGTTATTTTTTATTTTATTATAGCTTGACTCCACACAGTATTTTGGTACAAGTATGAAATGTTCAGCATGTGATATCGGTAGCCCAAATTTAGCAGGCCGACCATAGATATCAGGTGTGCGTCAGTGGGGGATCGAACCTCGGACCATGTGCATGGTCGGCGAGAGTCCTAACTGCTGTGCCACCGAAGCAGTTTATTTTACTTAATCATATAGTTTATATAGTTTACCACTGATCTTATCTTACCAGTTGTAACTATGGAAACCACAGCTTAAATTAAACACCTGATGTCTTCTGAAGATTAAATACGCTGTAAGATAGAGTGAAAATACATACTAAAAAGGCAGTTCAACAGATGTAGAAACTACTGAATAAAAGTATTGTTTCAGTCATTCACAGTATTATGAAAATAAATTTTATGTATACACGCATTTAGAAGAATCCTAAGTTTTATTTTCGACGAAATGTATCTTTTTACACTTACTAATCTATGAAAACAATGTACTTTTAGCGTTTCAACTATTCAAGAAGAATTAAGGGAATACATAAAAATTAAACTTTCATGATCATAACTGACATTTTATGATACGGAATTAATTTTACAGGTGTGTAGCGGTAAATAATTCCCCAAAATTATTAACCACAGCAATCATCACTCAACATTGGATGCTGACCATCACTGTTTAAGTCGACTTGTTTAGCTGAAGGCTTACGGTCAAGCATCCCCGCCATTTGGTGCTCCGTCGTGTCACGTGCGTGCACGATTACTAGCTAGCTAAGCATTCACCTCTACCCGCGATTTTGTCCCAAAATATAATACGTACTTTGGACGACAAAATCTGGTCTTTTGCTTTACCATTTGGTACTCGAAGAACGAACACTATAGTGGTTGTTGGTATAAGATGTTGCGTTAGTATAATCCGTACAACTCCCGAACGTCGATACCCGCACCCCCTAAAGGTGAATCATTAACGGGAAATAAGTATTCTTCAAACATCTCTCAAAATATGTCAGAAATTTTTCAATAAATATATATTGTGTATGAATAAAACACTTTAATGCTGTGAAATTTGTGTTAAAATGTATAAGTTATTACTGTTTAGACTACTTTTATATTATATCAGCCTTAGTACTGAAATACAATAGAATATCATTCAAATACTATATGGATACTGATGCCCACCTCCGTCATCAGCTTAGGTATGAATAAATTTAGTTTTATTACCCCTGAATGTCTTCATAGTTAGTGGAACAGTTTTGCTTACACCTATTCTAGTGATTCGTGAACTACATTGCCAAGCGCCTGTCATGTTTTCAACATAGATCTTGTCTGACTGGAAGACACCACAAGCACTGACAAACTTGTAAGTAACACAGATGATTTCTGTGAAGTAACACCAAAATCGGAACAACTACAAAAAATATGAAGTCGTTTTAGTTTCTGTAAAAAATACCATCTTTATATTTTGAATGGTATGACTGAAGAGTTATGCCTAAAGCTTATCCCATAAATTTTAAGGCCTTGTCAAATCAAGAAGTATATACATAATTTTATATTACCCAGTGGCAAAAAAGACGAAGAAAATTAGTTAAAATAACATCATAATTTACCTAAAGTTTCACCAGTAGACTTGGTGGTGTGTTTGACCTCAGAACGTTTGCAGTAAGGACTTGGAAGCATACGATCTGAGCCATCTGGAAGGTCTGGAATAGGAGCATCAGTCAAATGTTTGGGCAAATTATCAACTTCTGCCGACAGTAAATCATCAGTTTTCATGAGCGCTTTACTGACTAGTCTATAAAAGAAAAAGATACTATGCATTAGCAAGAAACAAACAAAAAATCTGGAAATAATGAACTGAATGCTAATGCGAAACTAAGTTCACTGAATCAAATGGTTTGTATGTAAAACTCCCTGAGTATGTAAACGTATCTATTTGTCTAAACCAATAATGATTTCACTGCTGTTAGTTTGAAACAGCAGTGATGTGAAATTTTGTATACTGAACTGAAAAAGGAAACTATTCTCAGTAAGAAATCAATGCATGCAGTATATATTTCACACACTGAAGCAATTTTATAATGCTAGTTTAACGAGTAATATGCATAACGAATATACGAATTTGAAATCACATATGTCTCACAAGTTAAATATTGACCCTCTTAAAGTCACTGATACGTGCTTAATTTGCTAAAATAGCTAAAGTTTAATTACCAAACTCAAACTATTTCTTCCTTTTAATTCTACACATTCGTAAAGTGGACGTAACCATAGAAGCATATTTTACATTCAGAACTTTGGAAGAAATATGATGCCAGGTTGTATCAATCGAAATAATACTTCATTAAAATCTTTGTGAATACAATGTCTACGCATTCAAGACGTTGTCGTATAATTAGTTTGTGTCTGCATTGCATTAAACTTCACAGCGCCCAATGTTCTGATATATAAGTGCTCATTTAAATTATGCAGAAATTGTCTCATATTTGTAGAACATTTCCTTTGAAACCGAAGTGTGACATAAACTAACAATAAGGTTGATATTTTTCACGATAAATACCCTGTGAAACCAGTACTTCGGAATCTTTTAAACTTCATAAAAACAGGTCAGGAAACTCTGAACCCCAGAGTAATTGCTACACCTTATTAAAGGCCAGGAAGTGGCCAGTGTATATAAGAGCGTAAATGTGATATTTGATAGTTTAACCCGATTAAATAACAAGTACAGTTTAGACCCCAGAGAATCCATCGCACAAAATGAAACGAAAAATTTATCACAAATAATAACAGAGTGATCAGTCATGACAGGAATCCTTTAATGTGATTATCAATTTCTAAAACTTGGCAGAAGCAGAGTGAAGCCTAGATCAATGGCTTCTTGATCTCCATTTGTGATCTTGAGCCATTACCTACATTTTAAGCTACAAATTTTATTGTCTGTCGAATCTATCCAAGAGCGTTGTGGTGCATGAAGACGAATATTCCTAACTTCAGGATATTATTTTGTTGCCACTTCCAACCAAAATCTTGACTGACAAATAATAAACAATGAAGGATTTGCTGGAAAAACTCTCAAAATTTAATGAAGCCACCAAAATTTATTCAGGAGTCATGTGACTTTAGATATATTCAATTGAATGAGAAATATTACAATTACATTTTATTACTCTTAAAAAAGGTGATGCAGTTACGGAGTTTCTTTTGGAGCTCTAGAGTTAAAACTCCACCCAAGGTTGTAGTTCATTTAAAATGATTATACTGAAGTCCATCTGTGTTTTTATTCGGTGCAGAACAAGAGAGCTGAAAGCTTGAAATCCGGAAAACAGAATATGTATAAGGCGGAAATGAAAAATCGTGAATATTCGTGAAGCCAGATAGAAAACGCCGAGCAGAACAGTGTGACGTAAAGATGTGCATCTAAGGCCTTATGCCTCACTTCAAACCCGAAGGAATAATAATGAAAATACATCTACACTTTCCTACTTCATCCTCATGACATTCTAGTGATGAGACAGAGAAATAATTTCCAAAGTCCACGTAAAGTCACTACAAAATTTACGCTGCAGTACTTACTGCAAAACTAGTAGGATGAAACTAAAAGTAATTCGGGAATTGAGGAATTACCATTGGTCGTGTAAAAAATAAGACTTCCTGGATCAGGTGGTCTAACATCGAACTGTTGATGGTTTATACCACACCTTTATTTTGCCACATAGGAAGATGTTCCTGATCGCAAAAAATCAAGTTCCTAGAGCATCGGCTAATACAAATCACTACACAAGCGTAGATTAATTCCAAATTAATTTTTGTTTTACATGTTTCATGTAAAAAATGTTGCAGCTTCGCGACGGTGACAAACGTGAACGATAGCATAGATTCTAAAAACTGAAGAGGCGAACAAGGAAAACTGCGGGAATGGCTGCCCTAAGAATTAACATATCAATTTAGTTCTTCTGAATTCCAAGTGCCCGAACAGACGTGCTTGTTCAGGTAACTAATAATAAAATTATTCACTGGTATAAAATGCGTTAAGTCTACAAATATTGTGAGGTTTGTTGATGCAAAATTTACGATTTCTAATGTCAATTTATCCTATGTTACCAAAACTAAGACTTAACTTATCAAAATATGTGCTAAAATACATATTTCAAGGTAACTACCTTGATTTTGTGAAAATTAAATGTTAAGTTTAATTCCTTGCTTTTCCTGAAAATAAAAATGTCATTAACCATCTCAAGCCAGTTCAATAAGCTTGAAACATTGTTAATACTTAATAAACTCATGTATTAATAAGAACCTGTATATTTCCACGCAAATACCTTATGTATTTTTGAAAATTGACAACTAAACAAATTCCTAAATTGAGTAGTTAAACAAATCTTTTTGAATGAGAAATTTCGTCAAAAAGCACACTAAGTCACTTCTAAAGAACAAGAATAGGTTCTTTGATGCTCTGTGTCTTTATAGTCCTGCAATACGCCGAACAATATGTACAATTTTGATAAATTATTCGGGGACCTCTCTTGATCTAATGACTATTTTGCGTTTGCACAACATTGTTATAATTAATCGATAAAGTTAGCCATTTTCCCTTTTTTAGGAACAATTTTGATAAATCCTAAACGGTAGCGGTCTTATGTTTTCCCTTCTCAAGTAAAAGAAAAAGTCCTTAAGATAAGCAACCATTAATTCAATATCTAATATCGTTTTTACTTGCCAGTGTAAACCAATATGATTTCTTTATGCTCGCTTCTTTATTCTCAGGTAAACTTTCCTGGTCTTCGGTAAACTTTCGCGTAGTTCGTCCCGCCCCCCGACTCCAAGATCAGTTGTGGTGGGATTAATTATTTATAGTTTGTAGTATGCGGTGTGTTAAGACTGTGTCGCTACAATGAATTGATTCGATCCTTTCACCCGTTATTCGTCCGGTGTCCTCGAGAGAAGAGATTGTAATAACGGATATAGTGCGGGTTATGTAGACTGAAAAAGAAGAAGAAAGAAAACGTAAAGACAGCTAATGCAATTTGAAATATATAAATATATATATATCAGTAATAATAGAGTAAGAGACGTAATAGTTGGAGGAGTCAGGAGAGTAACACAAGGGAAAATGGGAAGAAGTAAAGAGATGAGTTTAGGTAAACATCAAACAATATTGTGTGAGTTTTGGGGATAGGCCGTTTGGACACAGTCCTTCTGCAACTGCATGATTGTCCAGTAACCTCCTAAAGCTGTCCGTAGATTGCGCAGTAGCCAAATTTACCGGTAGAGAGTTCCAGGGGCAGTAAGCTCGAAGTGAGAAAAAATGAAAGCGCACTCGATTCTCAGCCCTCTGGTGAGCTATCTTCCAATGATTGCCACGAGGAAGACTGTACGTGCCTAATGGCTGAATAACTTGTTTGGGTGATTCTGGTAATTTATGATCTTATAGGTAGTATTCACGTCTTCTCTAAGCCGACAGCAGCTGATTGTGAAAAGACCTAATTCCTTTAGTCATTCGTATTATGGTTGGTTTTGGAGACCTATCACACCTTTCAACGCCAGCCTTTGAACTCTTCCCGAAAAGTTTGCGTCTCTTCTAAGCATTGATGGTGCAGTGATATTGTGCACTTCAAGTTGTGGTCTGACGTGTGTTTTGTACAACCTTAGAAAGAGCTCAGGAGTGAGTATAACTGACTGTCTATGTGTAAATTGTATGGCCATTTTTATCCTCATTACATCCCCCGTGTAATTTTACACTGTGTCCGTTTTTCTGTTAGAACCACACCTAAGTCACTCTCCAACGTTGTGCAGGACAAGCTTTCGTTGCACGGGGTGCAACTTGCATTCTGAAGCTTTCAGGTGAGTAAATTCACTTCTTCGCACTTTTTTCAGATTGAAAGTGAAACCATCGGCCACCTCTCGGTCTTCCAGAGGCTTTACGGCTGCCTGCAGACCATCTGAGTTTTGCGAGCACTCTATTGCTCTCCAAATCTTTACTTTGTCAGCGTGGAGAAAAGTCGGGCAGCTTAGACGACACGGTAAGTCACTGATAAAAATCAAGGACACCAACGGCCCTTTGGTAGAGCTCTGCGATAATCCTGATGGCAAGCCGTGCCAGGATGTAAGAACTCGACTGATCTTAGAGCAGAACTTCCCTTCACCTAGATAGTCCTTCAACCATAACAGAAGCGGCTCACCCATACCTACCTGACTTATTTTGTGCAGTAGAAGGTCATGTTGAATTGTGTCAAATGCCTTCTCAGAGTGTAGGAAGATAACATGGACTAGAATATTGATTTCTCACCATGATTTCCTATCGCACCAAGCAGATAGTATGTTTGTTACACAGTATCTGCCCTTCGTGAAACCATTTCGGGCTTCATAATCATTTTCTGTAGAGGTGCTCGCTGATGTGATCAGTTATACTCTCCGAAACGCCGATACCACTGTGAGTAGCGCTGCTGGTCTATAACTCGAGGTATTTTTTCTATCCCCATCTTTGAAGATCGGAGAATGGATGGCTCTTTTCCACGCCCTTGGCAATTTCCTTGAATCCACCGAGTGTTGGAACAAGTCGTACTCGGGCCTACATAGAACAACGGCGCACTGTTTCTGAACAGTTGGTCTGATGTCGTCACAGGCTGGGGGCCTTCCAGATGTGAATATGTGTAGCTTCCCTAATGTTAATACCGGCTTTATTCAGGGAGTAGCCACTAGATTTTCCTCCGGTGAGATAGTAACCATCTGGACCTACTGCGGCTCATGCCCTCTGGTTGGTTGGTTTCCTCTCCAGCATGAGTCGGTAGAGTTTATTGGGCTTCGCCATGAGTTTTTCGGAGAAATTAGCCTGAAATGACCTCCTGGCACTTCTGAATCTTGTGTTGCGCCAGCTCCTGAGTTCCAGGTGCGCATTGTGGTCGGTCTGACTCTTGCATATTCGTCACGTAGATCAGGCCTTCTACCTTGCTTTCAGAAGACTTCGCGCGCCTCTCTCAAACCATGAGGATCTTTTCTTCGGTTGTATTGTAACTAGAGCGACGGCATCCGAGATCGTCGTGTGAATAATTCCTCTACCACTTCCCAGTGTTCCTTCACGGACAACTCAGCCCATTCCACGAACTATTCTGTGTCATACAAAAGTCTTCGCGTTTCTGTATAGTCAGCTTTGCTATACACAGGCATGATCGCGTAGCACCCCACTGTAAGCACTCATGGAGAACCAGATCAAGCCCAAAAACGGCATGGTCCTTACGCCCTAGAGGGTCATGATTTGAACATTTTCGACCAGCCGGGATATAATTCAGCTTCGATGACTTTTCGCCATGGCCTCACCTAGTGTTATCTTCAACGTTTTCATTCAGTGCTGCGTCTCCCATGGTTTGTGGTAGACTTCGACCGAATTTTCCCTGAGCATAGCCCGAGCCGCGTTTCAGAGATGGAGCATTGAAGACTCCAGCCATAGTGATTTGGTCATAGCCCAAGTCCTGTATCCCTGTGATGGTGCAGCGCTGTAGCTGGTTGCGCTTTGTTCCACAGGTGGGTGATCAGTAGATGCCACCCAGTAAATGCTTTGTATAGCCTACGGTGAAATAACGCCATGCCATTTGTTGGTGGGGTTAGGGAACCACTTACAGTAACGATTGCGTGTTCCTCATTTATTGATACCAAAGTATTCCATACTTGGGATATTCCCAATTCCCAATGATAACAGAGGGTGTATTCTGATGCACCAAGGAGCTTTTCATAACACTGACATTCCTACGCGTCGAAATGAACGAGTTCATATATGCCGACATTACAAGCTTTTAGTATTTCGGCGTTTTGTGTGAGCTTGTGATTCCAATAGATATGATATCCCACAGTCCCGTCGCATAAGCGGTAACGTTCCTTCTGCAATCATACCTTTATTAACATATATTTTTCTGAAGAAGATCCCTATGTATATAATCATTCTCAGCAAACATATGGCATTAAATTCTACCCTTCACAGAGTTGCAATAGTTTTATCGTGTATGTTAAGTTAAATACCCACATATAATGGATCCCAGGGCATTTCTTTCTATCTGCGTTTCCGTTCATTGTAAATTGACCATCCACTATGTTCCTGACTTTCTTGAGAGTTGTTGTGTAAGCGACAGGCAGTTGTATATACCATTAGATAAAGTGAGCCTCTTGAAAGAATCAGGAAGAATCTGTGGTTGATTTCATCAAACTTACTCCAGGAAAGTCACTGAAACTACTGTACTAGACCTTTTAGGACTCACTTACTGTCCTGTCTTTATCGGGATATTAACCCCCCTCCATCAAACTGTATTACGTATCAGCATATTCCTGGATATCTAGCACCTCCACTACGTAATCCATTCGAGCTTTTGCGTAGCTTTTCTTATTCTCACGCGCCTGGTGAAGTCTAAATACCTAGTGAACATAACAAGCACTATAGTGCGTTATGGCGCCTCAGGAGGGTGACAACATGCAACCGCTTACCTTACTCAGTATACCCTCATCCGGCCAGAATGATTTCCTCCTAGCTTCAAGCGGTATAAAGATTTCAACTGGTTCGCGTTTATGCTTCTAAGACACCAAATTTCCTCAGATGTTTTCCATGAGGTTATGCATTATTATGTCAAAAAATCAGCAAATACTTTAGAGGACAAATGAATATACATCAAAATACTTTAGCATACCTCAATATCCTACTTGATGTGACGATTGAACAAACGAAGTGACAGAGTTTGAGAAAGATAACTGGCAGCTTCTACGTGTTAGCAAGTCCGTCTGTCTGCCTGAATAAAAACGGCCAGCTAGGGCTCCCAATAACTCCATAAAACAAACATTCGAAAGTCATCTGTTCTGATGTTATACCATGAAGGAATTGGCACTAGCTACAGAAATAGATGGGTGTCCTTACAAGTCGGATGATATATCATATTTCCGCTCAAATGTCCCGTAATTTTGAATGGTTTATAGGCAAACCTTGTGATTCGGAATATGAACATCATCGCTGTGCACCCAATTCGTGGTGTCTTCAGTGTTCATGGCAAGCTGATGGTCACGAACGTCTAACGGAGATCTTTAACCATATATGTTTTCAAGTTATTTATATCTAGAAGGCCACCAGAAAACTGATAAGTACTTTCATCAGTGGGCCTCAATCAACCTTACACTGCTAAGTAAAGGATTTCATTCATGCTAAATAGCGTCGAAATGGTGCAGTCGCGTGTGGTGTAAGCAGTTAATTTTATTGTTCTCTTGGATTCCGAGTGCGACATAGAGCCCCAACAACACGTTTCCATTTCGTTCTATTCCCTGCGGCCCTCTTCAGATAGCCCCGCAGTTGCTCATGGCTTCTCATCTA